AGGGGAGGCAAAATTTTTATTTCTTAGTGTGTTTAACGGTCCTTAAAGAGTATTGGGACCTCTCAGGATTTTTGTTCTTTAAATAAAAAGACACATGTAGCAGGGTGTGATGGTGCACTCCTGTAATCCCAGTGGCTCAGGACGCTGAGGCAGGAGGATTGCAATTTAGTGAGGCTGTAAGCAAACTAGTGAAACCCTGTCTCAAAATAAAAAAGAGGACTGGGAATGAGGCTCAGTGGTTAAGTGCCCGTGGGTTCAGTCCCTACGCAACTCTGATAAAACTAAACAGTGGGCAGGTGTTGGGAGGTTGGGCAGCTTCACCGACTCAGTTTTCCTGTGAGCTGAGACAGTGCGTGGTGCAGACCATCAGCAGGAGGGAAGCATGTGTATTAAAGCATTATTAGGGTGAAACAATACTTGATTAATTTTTTCAATTACAAAGAGCTGGAATGTGTTCTTACTACCTTTTCTAGTCACTAAAGTAATATGTGCTCATGATTAAAAATCTGGAAAAAATAAGACCATGAGAAAGAAGTAAAAGAACCACCCGTGGCTTCACTGTCTAATGAAGACTTTGGCGTATTTCCCTTTAGAATTTTTCCAGGGACAAAATTTTAAAATAGTTCTGAATAAAGCATTCAAAAACAGAAACATTCTTCAGGGAGGGTCTTTGCCTTCTCCCTCAAACCTATGATTCCCGAAAACCCCTCTCTGGAAAAAGTGTCACTAAGTGGATTAGGACGGAAGGTGCTTTTACTATCAGACAAATCACAAAGGGACAAGTGTTATCTCAGTGGCCACAGGAGAGGGGGCCACACATTTCTCAGTCCTTATTCCATGTAAGACAAAGAGGAAATTCAGCAAATAAAACAGGGTAGAGCTGTGCATGGTGGTGCACGCCAGCAATACTAGCATCTTGGGAGGCGGAGGCAGGAGGAGTGCAAGTCCAAGATCAGCCTCAGCAACTGAGTAAGACCCTGTTTCAAAAGAAAAGAATAAAGAGCTGGGGATGTGGCTCAGTAGGTAAGCACTCCTGGGTTCAAGCCTGGTCAGCAGACTGAAAGGCAGTTCAAGATGCAATTTTGTGCGTCTGTAAGATGCAGGGTGCCCAGAGTCTGAGCCTGTCGCTTAGGGCTGGGTAGAAACTGAACTGTTGGCTGGGCTCTAAGAAATATCACCTACCCACTTTGGGCAAGATGTTTCCTTGCCTTTTTGGAGGATAACTGGAAGCTTTTCTTCTGTCTCCTGGGCCCCCGACTTATAATAAGCTGTGCTTTTGAAATTTAGCCTCCAGGACTGGCCTCACAACCAAAGTCCTATTAGGGGAGAAGCTGGTGGAAAGGGGTGCCCCTGACTGAGAGGTGCCTGTCTAAACAGCCACATGCACCTGTCAAATAAGAGAAATGCAGGCTGTGCCCCCTCCTGCTCACACACCTCAGTGAGCTCCCTTTGAATGTCTGCAGTGCATTCAGGGGGGGGCCTAACTGCAGGGTCCTGTCTGAAGGCAGCCTATCAGATGTCATCGGGTGGATGAGGAAAACAAACAGGACGTTGAAAAGAAGCTGATCTGTCAATTTGGTAAGGGGCTCAAGGGAGCTTAAGAAAAAAAAAATAGCCCTGGGCTATATCTCTGGATGTTAGTCATCTTTGTCTCTTCTTGTCCCTTCTTGCTGGGGCTTGCAGGTTTGAGGCGGTGACAGGATTGGGAATGGGGACACAAGTAGGCTCAGGCCTGTAATCTAGAGAGGGACAACGAAAGCAGCCAGGGAGGACAGACTTACGAAATGCTTCTGCACCCTGGTAGGGCTGGTTACAATGACATTGCCAAACAATGTGTGCAGGCTGCTGCTTGTCAAGACATCTTCCCGTCGACCAGCACGCACCTGCCCTGGCCAGTTGTGCCTCACCATGATGGACCGGACGTTTCCCCCAAACTGAACTCTAGCTGCTATCAACTGAGTAGCCCCAGACCATGTTGCTGTGGGGACAGGCTGGGTGCTCCCTGGAGAAGCTCTGCGCTCAGGACATTTGAGCACCAGTCGCGGCAGGAAGACAGACTGCCCCCTTTTTCTCGAGAGCTCAGTCTCTTGCTGTCAGGTCTGGAGCTGAAGGCCTACATCTGCCCCTTATTCAGAGTTACATGCCCTCAGCCAAACCCCTCAAGTGCCCTTCTTGTTACTCTGGTTCTCATCCCAGCCTTCCCCGAGTTGGTGGCCCCAGGGCCTCTGGAGAATTGTCTCGAGGGGGACTCTTCCCCTGAGGATGCAGCAGATTCTGAGTCCTGTGCTGTGTGTAGAAGCAGCAGGACACACAGGTCACTAGGCAGGGACAGCAGAAGAGCAGCTAACTACTCAGTGACAATAGGCCCCTTCTCAGTGAGTTTGGTGCTTTGCAGGGCATGGTGCCTAGAATAAGCCCATGACCAAGGACAACAGCTGGTAAGATCTGGCACTAAAGCACGGACAGGGCTTAGTGGGTTGGGGCAGCACTGGGTGTGGTTTGAGGGAGGGCATCTGCAGGGCCTGGGAGGACTAAGTCAGGTCCCTGGTAATCACCCCTGGATGTTTCTGTAGCTTTTTAGGATGGTTAGAAAAAAATCCCCAGAGGAAACTAACACCTGCTCTCCATTACCCCTGAACCCTTGAAATACATCCTAGAATCACAAACATCTGCATGTTAATTTTTAAAAAACATATCCATACAATGTTGAGTAAATGTAATGTATAAAAGAGGTCTGGGGAAAAACCCAGCACATTAAAACAGAGAATGGACATTGGAGTCAGAGAGGCCTGGATTATTCTTGTTCCTATCACCACCTGTCACCAGCCGTGGGTTAACAGACAAACTGGTTGGTGGTGCTGGGTGGGTATGGGTGTCGTCCCCACTGCCTGGCTGGAGAGGGCATGCTATATGCAGTTCTCCAGGGCAGCCTGTGGGAGCAACCATACCCCTGCCTATGAGTTCTCCTGTGCCATCTTCTGCTCTGCTCTAATGATGATTAACTCAGCAAATTCAAATGACAATGACAAGGTGTTGGATAATCGTCAGTGAAAACTGCAGTCTCAGAAAATTGGTAGATTTCCACTGCAGGTCTATACTAGGATGCAAGAGAGTGGAGATGGATCTGTTTAGCTCACCTGAGTTCTAGGCAGGACCAACTTGGGAAGCAGACACGGGGTGGGCTGCAGGTGCACAGCCTCACCTTCCTCAGGGGGACTTAAGGAGTCATAAGCATGAGGCTTAGTGGAGTTATGCCTCCACTCAAAGTGATGATAGGATATAATGGGGCATTTGAGGGCTGTTAATCCACACGATTTATAAATGTGCCAGTGTGTATGAGAGACTGGCTGGGATTTTCTACAAAGGGTAAACAGTTTAAAGAAAGATTTGTTTATTGGAGCTGTCAGTAAGGTGCCCCACAGCTGCGGCATTGGTGGAGCACCCTCTGGTGGCGGATCCTGGAACAATGGGCAGAATCCTCAGACCTCCCTAGTGGCACAAAGTGGGGTTACTAGAAACGCAGTCTCAGGCCCACCCCTGACCTGCTGCATCAGAATCCATCTCTGAAGAGGTACCTGGCAATGTGTGGCCCGCTGACGTTTGAGAAGTGCTTTGTAGAAATGGCTGGACGTGTGTTCTCGGAGGACAGAGCTTCCCTGCTGAGTTCTATAGCTCACATAAAGGACCTGGGGCCCTTAACCTGCACCCTGCTTCTCCAGCTTATTAAAAACGTGTTTCTGAATCAGCGGTGGACCCAGGAACATGTGGTGTCACAAGTGCTGCCGGGGACTCTGATGAGAGTCATGCCCTGACAGTCTGCCTGGCAGTCACTCAGAGAAGACTTCATTTTGTTAAGAATGGAAAAGCAGTCGGGCTGCACAGTAAGAAGGTGCACATGGGGCCCGAGCCATGAAGTGAGGAGCTCTGCGGGCACCCTGGCCCTGTGTCCTGTGCTGAGCAGGCCCGGCCCTGACTCAGGCTCAGTCCTGGGCAGCCTCTCCCCCGCAGTAGGCCACTACCCACCCACTCCAGCAGTAGCTCCTTCACTGATTTCGAGTGCCGAGGGTGCTCTCTTTCCTCAGCAAGGTTCAGGATACTCAAACCAAGACAGGTCTCAGAAAAAGGCCCTCTGATCCACAACCAGGGGCCGACTGTGTGGTCCTGACACGTGAGGTTTCGTCAAATTCCTGGCTTTCCTGGGGTGGGACTGTGGGTGGCAGTCCTGTGAGTGGCAGTCTTGTGACTTCCCGGGGCCATGGTCATAACCATTCTCTACAGCACTGTGGTCTCTGAGCTCTGAGCAGGGGCCCTGGGTACAACGGTCTTCATATTAAACCCAGTGCAGAGGAAGTTTAGACCTGGAGATATTAAAATTGCCATTTCAACTCCACTCCAGGTCCCTGATCCAGGCAGGGCTCAGTCTACCATGTCTGTCATGCCTGAGATCTAGCTGGCTGCATCTTCCCATTTACCAGATGGGCAAGCAGAGGCCTGATGACTTGTCCAAGGTCAACTCTAGGGAGAGCTCATAGGCAGCACAGCCTGGACTGGAGGTGTTCTTTTTCTTTTTTTGGGGGAGTGGGTACCAGGGATTAAACTCAGGAGCATTCAACCACTGAGTCACATCCCCAGTCCTAGTTCATATTTTATTTAGAGACAGGGTCTCACTGAATTGCTTAGCACCTCGATGTTGCTGAGGCTGGCTTTGAACTTGCCATCCTCCTGCCTCAGCCTCCTGAGCCACTGGGATCACAGGTGTGCACCATTCCCCCCGGCCACAGACTAGAGGTTTCTATGTTGGCTTTCTTCAGTGACGGATTCTAAGAACCAACCACGGGAGGCTGGGGTGTAGCTCAGTGGTAGAGTACCTGCCTAGCAAGGGTCCAGGCCTTTGGTGGACTGGAAACTGGTTGCTAAACAATTAAGGGCTGGGAGCAGGGAGGGTTATGCACTCCTTTTCAACATCTCCAGGACTCAGGGGACTCTGATGGCTTTCTCCTTGTGACAGTCCTCACTGTTGGACGGAGAGAGCTGCCCCGGCCCAGACTCTGTTGGCTTTTCTGGCTGGCATTTAGGGAAGGCCTCTGTGCCCGTGGAAGGCTTTTCCTGGGCTGCACAGGCAAAGAGCCTTTTCTAGTAAGTTGTGTGCGCCTGGCCAATTCCCACATGCAGACTTCATCCTAGAACTTTCTGGTATTGAATCAGTTTCCATTCTTCTAAAGAAGACGCATTAATTAGCCTTGGCAGCTGAGTGGCCCCAGGCCAAGCCCACAGCTTAGGGCCCCTGGGTCTTTTGTTTGTGAATTAATTGACATATGTCGGGGAAGGAAGATCAGCTTTAAAGAAATGCACTTCTATTAGTGCCAGGCTCATTTACTTAAGAAACTTGGAAGGGAGGAATGTCTATGCCGGCAGGGTGCCCAGTGCTCTGGCTTTGGCCAGCAGGTGGGGAGGGCACGAAGCTCCCCTGTTCTGCACTCCTTCCCTCCCTCCTCATAGCCTTTTAAAGGTGCAGCCCTGATTCTATTAGACTATGAGATTACGAGAAAGATTATGAGGAAATGGGGGTGGGCGGGCTTCAGCAAGGAGAGGCAGGGTTCCAGGGTGGCCTCCTTTTCCCTCTAGAACGGCATGGACTTGGAGGGTCACCCATGTACCCCGTTCCCTCCCAGTGGCCCTACGTTCTCTCTTCCTCAGTGTCCCCCAGACCACAAATCCAAGAGACCCACAATATACTCCTCTGAAGCAGAGGGCCCTGGCCCTTTCTCAGAAGTGAAAGACCAAAAGGAGATCCGGAAAGAATGAGGCCGGAAAGGTGTTTAAACCCACGAGATGATGGTTTATATGAGCTTTCTGTCATCTTTTTCATTAATTGTGGTCATTTCTATATATTTAAGGCCTCATGTGTTTATATGTGTGTGTGTGTGTGTGCGTGTGTACATGCACACACACTTACGAGAACTTAAAATTGTCTAGCACCTTGCAGTATGTTTCAAAATATCCTTGCATTTGTGATCTCACTGGTTTTTCCAATAATCACATAGATGGAGGGGTCAGAGTTTAGTACTCGCAATATTACAGATGAGAATGTCAGGGCTCACAGAGGTGAGGTGCCTGGTACTACAACCTGGGCTTCTGCTTCAAACTCTGTCCTCCATAGCAAACTCCCTGCCTTTGATCTTGCTTTTTGCTCTAGCTAATCTTATCTGGTGCTGGGATTGGCTTCTTTCTACAAGCCCCGGAAGTCAAAGTCAAAGACATGCATGCTGAACAAATAGGGTTCTGATGGAAGGGCAGAACACTCACATTCCTTGGTGTTGGGGGGAGCCAGCAGGCAGGAGTAGCAGACCATGCCGTAGATGTTCCTGGGTCTGTTTTCCAACATGTAGTAGCTGCAGGAGGCAAGACAAGACAAAGCAAGCCAGGTGAGGTGGGCACACCAGAGCAGGCACTGACCACAACAGACCGGGGCCTCTTGGCAGGCCTGTGATCAAAGCCGGATATGAGACAGCACAGTGGGAATCGGGAGCCCTGCTGCACCAGCAGCCCTTTAAAAATATGTATTTATTTAGGTGTTAGGAGCCCTTTTCGCCTACTGAGTTTCCTTGGGGGTTTGTAGCGTATCTTGAAATGGTACATTCTTTTTCTGATATTGGGCCAGTATGGGCCTTTCTTCTAATCTCTGCCTCCTTTTAGTTCCTTTCCTGAGAGATTTGTTGTTGTTGTTGTTGTTGTTGTGTGTGTGTGTGTGTGCATGTGCATGAGATCACCATTTTCAATCAACATCGTCCACCAGAAATATCCACGTGTCCCCCATGGTAGGCCCTGGGTGTTTCACCACGGGTTAGATGCTCATGGAGGAGAGACATCCCCTCAACAGGTTCCCTTCTCTGAGCCTGTAGCCTGGTGGGATTTTTAGCAAAAGTGTCTCTGAGTCCCTGGAACCCCTGGAAGTCCCAGAGTACCCAAGTCACTGCTGAATGCCACTGAATGGAGATGGCCAGCAGGGGATGGCTGTTGGAGACAGAAGGACAGCTGCACTGTCCAGACAGATCAATGCAGATGGCTTTAAAGATACCTTGAAATGCAACCAGGTCACAATACAACCAACCGTGCTTGACCCAAAACACCTAGACAGCTGCAAGTGTTCACACTGGGGTCGCACAGACTCCTAGACAAGGACAAGTTATTCACAATAACACTGCTTAAAATCCTTTATCCTCAAATGATGCTCTGGTCACTACACCAGCCCCATGACCACACTGACTGGCATAGGTCCTCCTGCCACTGTGGCCTGTGTGCTGTGCAGGACTCGACCCTTCTGCCTCCCCGCCTCCTGCTAGCACAGCGACAAGCTGACACTGCCCTCTCCTCCTAGGCACCCCGGCTTCTTTCCTCTGCAGCCCTGGCTCTCACCGTGGCCTGCGCTGTGTTCCATAAACACTCAGGGGTGATCACGGAGCCATTTATCACATTGTGAGAAGTTGATTAAATAAAGAAGTGAGCTGTTGCCAACACTTTCCCTTATTACAATTCGAGAGATGGAAAATCCCTCTCTGCTACTAGATTTTTCAATGGTTGTCTCCTAATCTCTTTTTTATTAGCTTTGCACCACGAAGGCCCCCACGGATGGCTGTGGTAAGTGACACAGAGTACAGGAGGGCCAGGGGCGGGGGTGGGGGGAGCCTGGGCTCTGGCCTTCATGAGCTCGGACCATTACCAGAAACATCATGGGCATAATTGCCTGCCCTTCCTCAACGCCTTTTATCCTCAGATCCCTGAGTGTCTTGTAAACATTAATTAACCAATCTCCAAACACTCCTCCGAGAAGCCACAGTGGCCAGCCTTACAGTTAAGCCTTATGGAAAAAGCTTCTTCGAAACACATCCTGTGCCCTCTCTGGAGGCCATCTTTGTGAAGCAGGGCGCTGTGGGGACCAACACTGCATCTGCCCAGGGGTTCCTATCTGCCATGTGGCCTCATGAAGGTGACAGGTGCCAGGTGGGCCAGGCAGCCCCACCTGAAGCTTTCCAATACCAGGTCCAGCGTACCACTTCTGGGAAACAGCTGTTAGGACTTCCTCCTCTGCCTCTTCCTCCCTATCAGGATTGGGTGCAGGAGGCAAGCCTGGTTCACATTTGCGTTTCTGGCACTTTGTGCTAGGTACTCAGTTTGGAGAGCTCTCGATAAATATGGGAAGGACAAGTTAATCAATGACACCCAGATCTTCTCCATAGAAGTTCCAAGGGCTGAGTTAAACAGAAGCCCCCAAGAATGTTCCTGAGCTCTCCCCCCTTTCTGAGCAGGAGAACCACAGCCTTGCCCATCCTGTTACATACTGTTCAGGGCTCAGTCTTAGATAAAGCTCCAAAATCACAAAGGTAGGTGGGGCATGCACTGGGGCACTTGCATTTTGAGCATCTAGGGAGCGGCTGCATCTGTTGTGGCCTTTTTCAGGGTGTGTGTTGGGGTTGGGGTTCCTTTCTAATTCCCACGGGTGCTCTGGATGGCTCTATGCTCCTGCACTGACCCTGAACGTGCATTTGAACTCATCTGTGGGATGCTGTAAGTAATTTAGTGAAGGAGTCATTTTGAAAGCCTGTGATATTTTGAAACATAGGTTGGCTCCAGGAAACTGTCAGAAAGCTCCACTGCTTCACCTGGCACAAGAGTTAAATACCTTGTGGCCAGGCGCAGTGGCACACGCCTCTAATCTGAGTGCCTGGGGAGGCCAAGAAAGGAGGATTGCAAGTTCAAAGCCAGCCTCAGCAATGGTGAGGTGCTAAGCAACTCAGTGAGACCCTGTCTCTAAATAAAATACAAAATAGGGCTGGGGATGTGGCTCAGTGGTTGAGTGCCCCTGAGTTCCAATACTTGGTACACACACACACAAATATCTTGCAATAAAGAGAAGCCACTTTTATCAGCAAGCGCATATTGCTTCCTGTAGAGAATACTTCTAAATGTTAGGTTTTTCTCTTAGGACAAACCTGAACTCCTCATGGTATAGTGTAACCTCTATCTCTCACTCAGGGCTAGATAGGAATGGAAACAGCCATCTGATAGAATTTCATCAATTTGAAGTTGAGTGTTCCCTTAGGGATCTGTGACCCACCAGGGTGTCAAGTTCTTCCTTATGGAAAGGCCAGTTTCCTACTCTTTGACCCGTATTTTGATTTTCCCCTGTATCTACTGGGCTTACAATGGGCTGATATCCTGCTGAGTCCATTCTAAGTTAAAAACATTGTTAATTTGAAAATACACTTATGTAACTAACTTATTATATACATCCTAGCCTAGCCCATCTGGGAGCACTTACATCAGCTTACGGTTAGGCAAAATCATCTCACACAAAGCCTATTTTATAATGAGGTGTTTACTATCCATGTTATGTACTGAGTGCTATACTGAGAATGAAACACAGGAGTACTCACCCTTAACTTAAGGTTCACGTACGTTAAATGTGGTTCCTACTGAATGCATATTGCCTTTGCACCATTGGAAAGTTCAAAAAAAAAAAATTGAACCTTTATAAGTTGGGGTGGCCTGTAATTCTTTTTTTCTTTTACTTCCCTGTTCTTTCTGGATCCATTAAGTTGTATAACTCCGGCCAAGATTCAGTTTTAATGGGGTCTCTAGAATCTTCTATCCAGAGAGTGACTTCCTCCAGGTCAATAGATACAGATTTCCTCTGAAGAGTCTCCTTTCTCATTACCCTTAAGCTTGCAGTGGATGAGCCCTGAGATGTTCAGTTTCCCTCCAACATGTTGGCAGGTAGGGCCAGTCTCTGTGTCCTTCCCCAGGCACCAGCTCTGTAGAGTGTCCTATTGGAAGGGAATGGTGTGGCGTCGGGCGGAGCCTCAGGAGTTCCTCTGGGGGGAGGTAGAGACGCTGGGGAGGTTGTGAAAGCTAACCTCTCCCTTGCCTCCTGTTTTGGTTCCTGGTCCTCCCACACACAACCTTTCCCAACAGGAAAGCCCCATGGGCTGCTCATTGTTCAGTGAGTGTCTCGGCCACATTCAGGTACAAAGAGGAGGCTGCAAAGAACGAGGAGCCGGCACCTGCCAAACCACAAGGGAGGGGAGAGGGCCAAAGCTGCCTTGGTGTTAGAAAGACAAATAGGAGGTAATCTGCATCCGCAGCCCAGTAACCACAGGGATTCGGGAACGAAAACCGCCTTTCATCGAGCTAATAATGCCAACTTGCCAAAATGCTTTGTAATCCTCCTCTGGGACATAGCATGAGAGCTTCATTTTGTTCTAAATCAACAGCATCTAATAGGAAGCCAGAGCCCTTCAGGGTCCTGCCCCAGTCAAGCCTCATCAGCGGTGGGGGCATCAGCCACCATGAGGACACTGGAGACCGGAGGTAAAGGGGGGCCTTCTGTTTTGGTGGCCTTGGGGCTGGTAGGGATTGCTTTAAACAGACATATCCCATTGCAGAGCCAAACAGGGGACTGACTGAGAAGTTTTTTGCATCCATAGGGCGAACCTAAACTCACAGAGATGTGTTTTGAGATGTGTCTCCATGCAGGAGCGCCCTCCCTCTGTGGGTGCTCCCGCCTTGATCTGTCCTGGGTGCTGAAGATCAAGTGTGACTAAGCAGGGTATTGTTGCCACGGAGCAAGGAGAGAGGCATTCAAGATTCCAGAGCTGGAAAAAACTTTCCAAAGTACTTGATATCCCCTGCTACTTTCATAGATGGCCATCCACGTCTGTTTGACCCCGTATAGAGGCGGGGAACTCACCACTCTTTCATTGTGACTGGATACTTTCTGGTAAGTGTTAGCACCAAGCAAATTGTCTTCACGGCTGACAGAGTCTTCTGAGTGCCAGGCTGGCACCAGCCTATGGGACAGGGTATTTACCAGGCTGGCCCCAGGCTTGTCCTGTCTGGTTAGAATGTTTCTGTGGTTCTAAGTGAAAATGAAACAGATTGCTCCATGCACCTACTTCTGCTCCTTTGAGATCATCTGGAACAAAGTCACAGCTGAATTCCACAGCCTACTGAGGCGATGCGGCCACAAGACTGACCAAGTCGGAGCCAGCAGTGCAAGTCAGTCAACTCTGCCAGCCATCCTTTTAACCCCTCTGCAAAGCCGATTCTGGGAGCCCGTCCAGACCGGAGGCTGTAGCACCATCAATGGGTGGATGGCTTCCAAGTCCTGAGCTCAGCCTGGATCTTGCCCTGAGCACCACACCCTCTACCATCTGTGTTGGAGATCTTGGTTCAGATGCCCACAGCACCTCAGATTTCACAAGACAGTCTCCACCTGCCTCTGCCTTCCCATAAGGACTTCTTCCTACTGTTATGCATTGGAGCAATGACTCTACGGTCCACCTCACCGGCCAAAGGCAGACATCCAAGAGTCCTCTGCCTGTCGCGTGCCCTCCGTCTGTGACTGGGGTCAGTGCTGTCTGCTGGCCAGCACTCAGCTCCTCCCCAGCCCCAGTGCTCATCAGTTCCCACCTCGACCCTGCCCTGGGCTGCAGGCTCTTCCCTCAGCTGCTTTCCCTACCACTACTAATGTACAGCCCTTTCGTGTCCTGCCCCAGCGAGGCGATCTGCATGGTGACCTGCATCAGCTGCAAGCTGAAGACCCAGATCTTCAGTGCTGGTTTCCAGAGCTCTTTCCATCTGCTCCTTACCCACCGCTGGCTTCTCCACGCCTCACGTGTGCACCTCTTGCTCTGCCACACGAACCCAATCAGACCCTAGACCCTTTGAACTTGGGCTTCAGTCTCCACTAGGAAAGCTCTGCCCTGTTTCTCAGCCTGACCACCTCCCTCCCACCTCCAGAAGCCTAAGACCCCTATGATCGCACTGCTTCCATGGGCTTCTAGAACATTCTGCGCGTGCCTTACTAAACGGTGCTGTGGTTGCTGATTTCCTTGTTTCAGTCCTCCACTGAGGAGAGAGGAAGCATGTCTCCCCTCATCTCACTGATGCCGGTCTAGTCGCTTTAGTTGACAGGTTTATGAAGACAAACACTGGAGCTGCCACATTAGCTCACGAATGCCTGCTCAGGTACTCACACTGGGAAGCCTTCAGAATGAATCTAGGTTTTGCAAAGGTGAACATGATAAGGTCTGCAATACTGTTCTCTACTTAATTCCTGGGAGCTCCGCATGTCTTTTGTGAATCATGTATTTGCACCAATAAAAATCAATGAATGAATCAATCAAGATAAAACTCTAGGAAGCATGTTAATTATCAGAGACTGATTCTCGCCATCTAATGTCAAGATCCTACTGAATTTCTGTCATACAGAGGCAAGCAGAGTGTGTGCACAGAGCAGTCCCAATGGATATCTGTGCAGTTGGGTGGGAATGCTTTGATTCTGATTCTTCTAATACCTATGTTCCTTTTGGAGGAGTTGCTCTGCGGCACAATAATCACAAAAACTGAATTAAAAGCACCCAGCTAAAAAACTTTATTTTTATCATATTTTCTAAGAGAATAGTCTAATATCCTCTCAGTTTTTTGTTATCTGCTTTTGTTTGCATATTGGAAAATAAGGTTCTGTGTCAGGTACCTAACCTCCTGCTTTATAGATTCACTTGAAAAATATGTTTGATTCATACTTTGTGTTGGGGACATTGGCATAGGGTTGTCCAGCCAGTATTTGGACAGCTGATTCTATATTTGGGGAGCTAAGCCTAAGCCAGAGAGACAAAATACTGGAGGGTGGAAGGGGAATCGTCACCAACAGATAGACAGAGGTGGAAGCCACAGATGGGCATGCTTCTTAGTAACAAAATTTGAATGAGGTTATTTTGGGGTGAGTTTAAACCATATCTCCTCATGGTAAAGAGTTAATTTGCTTTCCATCTGTCTTGAAGTTGGTGGGTCTTCCTACTGTGTATGTCCTTCTTATTGCTAATTCTCCATGTCCTCTTTTGGATACATCTTCTTATTTTCTTGCTCCTCTTAAATTGATACATGTCCAGGGAGACATCTATGCAAGCACATTGTGAAGTGAAGTGTGCTATTCAAAACACCTGTCTTGTTACCATCACCTCCATCATCACTTCCATGATTATAACTATCACCTCCGCCAACACTTCCACCTGCACCATCACTACCATTACCACCACCACCACCACCATCACTTCCATCACCACCTGCACCATCATGCCCATCATCATCACCACCACCTCCATCATCACCTCCGTGACTCCATGATCATCATTATCACCTCCATCACCACTTCCAACTGCACCACCACCACCACCACCACCATCACTTTCCTGATCACCTCCATCATCACTATTATCATCACTTCCATCACCACCTGCACCATCATGCCCATCATCATCACCACCACCTGCATCATCACCTCCATCATCACCTCCGTCATCACCTCCGTGACTCCATGATCATCATTATCACCTCCATCACCACTTCCAACTGCACCACCACCACCACCACCATCACTTTCCTGGTCACCCGCGTCATCATTATCATCTCCTCCATCACCACCTGCACCACCTCCATCAGGCAGGCCCTGCTTTTCTGCCGTCCTTGAAAAGCATTATGTTTTGTGGCCACCAGAGGGAGCAGCAGCAACAGCTGCGGTTTCGCATGCTGGGTGTCAAGGTGGTTATGTTTCTGGTCCTAGGCAGAATTTACTAATGGGTCCTCCCCGGAAAACAGGAAGATTAAATCTTTCTGTCTTTTAGGCTAATTGCATTTTCAGTTTTTGGGGAAGACTTTTGATACATAACATAATTGCGGTGGAATTACAGGCATCATCTGACTCAAACATTTTTTATTAGTAGTTTTTACCCTCAGGTTTTCCAGAATATTAACAAGAATACTTTCACGTAGAATATTTTTTTTTCTTTCAGAAGGTTTTACATGTGTTGTCTCGTTGTAACTGTTCAGCAAATTTGTTTCACTTGGGCAGTCAGAAGATGCACGATGATGAGTGTCCACGGAAGAGGTGTGGACAGGGCACCTGGTGACAGGACTCACCGTCCTGGATGCTGCCCTTGTGGAATGGGATGAGGGGCAGGCATGACACTGCTCTAAGGTCTCCGGTGCCCATGGGCCTTGTCAAAGGGTCTGTGGCCCTATGCCATTACTGTTCAGGGGTCAGCCCTGCAGGGTCCCCACTCACCCAGGGAGACATGGCCCACACTCGGCGTCGTTTTCCATGTCCCCCGGTGTGAGCACGGTGGCCCGGAAGAAGCCCTCGCAGTCTTTGTGGCGTCTGCAGATCTGGTAGCCTCCTTTGGAAAACTTCTCCGCTGGGCAGGGCACGCAGCCGTAGTCCTCATCTTTGGTGCCGTAGCCACAGGACTGGCCGAGGAAGCGGACAGAGGACATGGGTCAGCACAGCAGCAAGGCAGTGACACACCAGCTTTCTCCAGGTGCCGCTCGTGCTGCCCTCAGCCACCTGTCTCATCCTAATCGCAACACCCCATCTCCTGCTCCAGCTCTGAGCTCCCCCCTCCCCTCTGGGCTTGGGCCTCAGATGCTGCTCCTCTTCTGAGGTCCCTGAAACAGATTCCACTGGCTCCTGGGATGTCCCACGAGTAGACCAGCCCTGGGAGTCCAACTTTTCTCAGCACACTACAAGAACCCGGGGACTGAAAGCCTAGATGATTCTTAGCGCTTCACAGAGAATCACGCTCGGCTTCCCAGAGGAGGGAGGTGCGTCGCATTTCAGTCACGCTTCTGACACCTCCTTAATCAGGGCACAATCGGAAAGCCATTCTCTAGAAAAATGAAGAACTCCTGAGAAACCCGTTGACGTGTGCTCAGCAGGAAAGCACATCTTGGGCTCATGACAGCTCACGCCACTCGGTCTCAATGTCCAGCTGCCACAGGTGACTGTCCTGATTTACCCTGCACACCTCCCATACCACAATGCCAGCTCAGGACATCGGGACCATGGCAGCAAGCCCCCGGGCTTGTCCTTACCATGTATGGCTCCTCCCCTGGCCCACAGGGGGGACACTGGTGGCACAGCCCCGTGGTCTGGTTGTAGTACTCATTCTCGCCACAGTTGGAGTACTCTGCTCTGGCTGAGCACATCAGGGACACCTGCCACAAAAGGGGGGTCGTTTTAGGCTCCACGCCTCCTTGAGGTACATTCCTAATCAGGGTCGGCATCCAGAGGGCTTGGGGCTGGTTTGGGAAGGAAGTGCCCTGGTGGTGCTGGGTGCTCAGTCCAGAAGAGGGCCAAGCTCGTGAGCAGTCCCCTGGTGCTCAGTCCGCAGGCTGTCAGCAGCTGGGCCTGGCCACCCCTGCCTCCTGCCAGCAGATGCCCACCCAGAGCCATCTCCTCCTCACCCTGCTGTCTAAGGCCAGCCCCTCACTAAGGCTGCTCTAGATTCTCATCACCCATGAATCTTGGATTCTCTCCAAGGCCCAGGATGAGGGGGCCTCCTGTCCCGAGCCTAAACAGTGGGGCTCCTCCACACAGTGACGTTTTAGTCACTTGTTGGCCCACCCTCATCCCCAGGAGGAGTGCTGGAAGGAAGGATCTTCTGGATCTTTCTCAGCTGCAGGGCCCACAAGTGTGGACCCATCACACAGGCCCAAGGCTGCGGAGAGCACAACACCAACAAGCCCTGGACGTCATCTCTACCCGTGAGCCCTACAAAGGGAGCCGCCAGTCACACCAGTGAGCACAGATGGTGTCTGGTGCTTGGCAGGCCTGATCCTAGTTCACCCTCAGACAAACCCCAGGAAAGAGGGGCTGCGGCCATTATGCCCACTTTACAGCTGGGGAAATGGAGACCCCGGAGGCTGCTGGGAAACTGGCCAGGGAGGGGGGGGACCTCCTGCATCCTGAGGATGCAGTGTGAGCAGGTGCTCAGAGCCACTTACCACCAGGACAGGGAGCCAGGGCGTCCACCTAGAGTCCTCCTCGTGGGCCATGCTCTCCCGGGAGTTCACCTGAAAGACACGCTCCGTCAGCACCTCTGGGTGCCGCAGTGGCCCCCGCCTCTCTCCAGCTGCCTTCGTCGTGCCTCACTGGACATATCGGAAGGCGCCTTCCAGCAGACAGCGTGGACCCCCCTAGAGAAAAGGCAGACTTTAAGCTGTGTCCCAGCCCCATGTCCCTTGGGCCGACTCTGTGGCCCTCAGCTGCATCCCAACCATGCCCCCAAAGAGCCCTTGAGACAGGGCTGGAGCATGCTGAGGGCCTGCTCTTACACCTGGGGCCGGGACCAGCGTCTGATGTGCTCACAGAGCCTCAAGCAAGCTGGCCTTACCCCAGCTTAAAGCTCGGGGTGCTCCAGGGTGGTCTTGATCCCCAGACTCCAGGGCAGCAGGAGGACCCCTGGAGATGCTGCTGGGGACCAGCCTCTGGTCTGTCCCCTGCCTCTGCTCTCCCAGCCCCATGGAGGGTCTTTCTTTTCTCTGTGAAGCATGGGTCATTGATCAAAGTGGTTGAGTCAGAGAATTGTAGTAGAAGTCCAACCATCTCACTGTAAGGTTAAGACAACTGAAGGCCAGAGAGGTTGAGTGACTTGCCCACGGTTACACAGCTACTTAAAGGAAGGAGGATGGTTATAGCTGGGGTTCACGTGCTTTTCAGGTGAACTGTTGCAGTAATGCATGGCTTTGTAGGAGGAGGTGTTGTTTTAATTGTTCATTTTATGAAGGGGGGACTTGGGTCTCAAAGCAATTTTACCTGGGAGTTTGGGTATTAATGAGCCCGGCTGTACCAAGAGAGATGATTTTCTCATGTGTGTGTGCCTAAATCCCCCAGCTGCCACTTTGGTCACTGAGTTGACACTGGGGGTGAGTTAGTGACATAACAGCATGCCCTACTGTGGATGCTGAGGAATCTTCTAGAATCCGGTACTGACACAGACCAGGAGTCAAATGGGGCCTTGGGAATACCCCTGCCAAGAACTTCCCGCCTCCTGTTCTTATCACGGGTCATGGAAATCAATAATCACCCATCCCACACAAGAAAATCCTGTGCAGGGAGCTGGGGATGATGGCAAATGGGAAACCATTGTTCTCTCCTCCTCCCTCCTTCCTTCCTTCCTTCCTCTCTCTCTCTCTCTCTCTCCTCTTCCTTCCTAGCCTTGAACTTTGTCTCTGTAACAACCCAAAGGCATTAAGAAGAGAAGCAGTCAAGCGATTATGTATCATAAATAAAGAGATCAAGCTGGAGAATGAGGGAGAGCTGTGTGAAGAGTCAGGGAACGGCAGAGAGCCACAGAAGACCAGTTATCGGGGTGGGGCAGGGGGCATTGCTCCTGAGAAGAATAAAACTCCCTGAGTGGTCCCCCCAGACTTGAAGCCTCGCTCCGTGAGATTTTTGGAGAATGCACATTTAGGAGAAGCACGTAAGGCCTAGATATATACAGAGAGGTTGGTGAGGGGTCACATCTGATGCACTGGAGCAGCCCCACCCTCCAGCCTCAGCTGCCCTCCGTAGCACCCCAGGAAGATGCTAGTCTAGTGTCCTGTCCCACCAAATCCTCCACTCCTGGAAAAGCGGGGTGGCTAAAGTCCAGATGGGGCTTACTTATCATTGCAATAGACAAAGAACCAACAATAACAAAAAAAAATCCACCGTCCCCTATTTTCCTGGAGCCCGTTCCATTGCTGAGTGACAATCACACAGAAGATGCTTCTGTGACTGCACTTGTCAAGGTTTCCATATGCGTTAAAATGGGTCTGGTGGCACCCACAGACCTTCCAACAAAGACTTTCTGGCAGGAGGTGAGACAGTGTGGAGGTGACGGGAGACTGAGGTTCAGAGTGAAAGGTTTAGTAGAGTATGTGCCAACTTTGTGATGAGAAAAAGACCCTCAGCACATTCCACTCTGGGGAAAAGTGTGCCTTCCTGATTCTGTCAGAGTGGCTGGGAGAGGGTGATGCCTCCGGAGCCTGATCAGAGTCACTGGCAGAGCCCTCTGGACCAGGCCTGGTCTTCCCCGGGCTCTGGCTGCCTGGTACTCAGCTACTCACTCAGTACCGTCATGGTCTTGGGGAAGGGTCATGTTTCTGGACTTTCCTGACGAATTTCAGGACTGCCTTTCCCATGCCTTTCCCAACGTGCACTCTGCTAGGCACCTTGGTGCTTAGTGCACGTTAGAAAAGCCCTGACTGGACTAAGCCACGATGAAAGCACCCGGGCAGCCCCCCCAGTCATGAACTTGCCGGGTGTTTTCCTTCTAGCCAGGAGCAAGCTGGGGCAGGCAGCAGGGGAGGCCCCAGGCTGCCGCAGCCCGGCTCCTCGGGGAGGAGGAGGGATGGCAAAGGCCGGAAGGGAGTCTGCGCCCTGGGACCCACAGCCCTGGCCTTGCCTCAGGACGGTGGGGTGAGCAGAAGTGGGTTTCCCTGGTCTGTGGACAGGGCCAGGGGCTCTGTGCTGCTCTGGAGGCTTTCAAGAGCCGTATTAGACGTTTTAATTTCATTGACTTCTGATCATAGCTGAGGAGCCTGGGAGGGTTTCCCTGAGAAACTGAGAAGGGCCAGGTCGGGTGCACCTTAATGTTCACGAGGAGCATTTACCGAAAGGCTCATTAAAGATATCCTGTAGATCCAAGAGCCAAAAGTAAAACAAATAAACAGATACACGGAGCCAAACAGAAAGTGAATGGAAGAACAGGAAGTGGCTATGCACCCCTTGTGATGCTTGCTGTCTGGGAGGCTGAGGCAGGTGGATGGCCAGCATGAAGCCAGTGGGGGCCACACAGCCGGACCCTGCCTAAACAAACAAACAAACAAACAAATAAATAAATAGATAGAAATAAAGTCAGCAGCATTTGCATTATTGTGACCTTGGGGAATCCCCTGACTCCTGCCTTGCTGCAAAGTCTCTGAACTGAACTGAGCTAAGGGAGGCCCCTCTGGCCAGAGAGCCCCATGATTGTGACAGTGAAGAGGAATGGGGGGAGCACCAAAGTGTCCCTTCCTACCCATGTGCAGACAAGGCTGACCCTGAACTTGTGCAGCTGAGCAGCTCATGAACGATCGGTTTCAGGATCCTGCAGACTCCTTCCACTGGTCGACCTGCGGCCCACGGCTCTCTGTCCGAGTCTGGCTGCACCTTGGCTTTTGGTGCAGGACAATAACTTCATGAAAAGATGGAGACCCCAGGACCAGGCAGAGCAGGGAGCCCACATACCTACATCCACCCTGGATGGGAAAGGCTGGCTGGCCCTGCCTGGCTGCTTCTCCTCCCTCCCACCCCTCTAGACCGTCTTGCTTTTGATCGTTCCCTCCTCATGATGTCCACGGAGAGTGACAACCCAACCATAACACTGCCGTGTGGGACCAACCCAGCCCCTGCTCTGGCTTAGCCCTCACCCCCAGGTGAGGTGGGCCCCATCATTCTCCCCACTTTTATAGATTAGGAAACTGAGGCCAAATAACATGCTTAACATGTGACCGTCCTTGTTTCTCGTCACTCCCCATTTCCCCGACTAGGTTGGCAACGCTACATCAGGGTCAGCGGGAAGAAGAAACTGGGGCTATAGGCCCCATTTGGAGAGTTTTTTGCTGCTGGAATTATGGTCTGTCTAGTTCCCCTGGGGTCCTGTGGGCTGGGTGCGCTTCTCTGCTGTCTCTACCCTCAGCCCAGACTGTCAAGTTCTGCCCCAAGGCTTCCCCATGACTCCTCCCTTCTGAGAGGTCTCTGGCCAACATCAAACGGTCTGACCTCCTGAAATGTGGGCCAGGGAGGTGGTCTGGGCACAGCCACATCTGTGACAAAGTCTTCAAGCTCATCAGGGAACTTCCTTCCTGTCTTCTCCTTCCTGTAGAATTGAGGCAGAAAAGCAAACCCAGGAACTACCCCACCGCCCCCTCATGCACAAAGCTTTGCTCATAAGCTGCCGTCATTTAGGACCCAACAGGACAACAGTTCAAAACTTACTTAGGCCCCAAATAAGAGGTTGGGCATCTCTTAAGAAATCTCTCCCTGGGGCCTCAGGTTCACTGGTAAACATTCTCTGAAACCCGTGCTTGCCACAGGGCAGGATGATCCCAGGTGGCTCACAGGGCCACAGCCCTTGGGAGGCTTGTGGTTTGTCAACCTGGAGGGCTGGAGTTGACATCTCTTAACTCTAGGTGTTGTCTCATCCATTCAAAACATTTATGAATGGGCTCATGTATTACCCACGCTCTGGCCATGGGTGGGGCCAGCTTCTGCCTTCCAGGGGATTAAGAGATTGGTAGGGTGCGGGCCACATGGTCACCCACAGTTTGGGGGCTGGAGGTCCAAGATGCTCTGGGACCCACAGGATGGGCGCTGTGGTGCTGTTTGCTCACTCCTGTGGTGTAAATATTTCTCTGTGCTCTTTCAGCTTCTGACTGAGGCTTCCTTAGGGGTCCTGGATAGGGAACCAGGGCTCTGCCACCCTGGGCACCGAATCCATTCTTGGGGAGAGCAGGACAGGTCGAGACCAGACACCTAAGTCCTGAAGGGCAGGTAAAAACTAGCTGGGAGAGTGTACAAAGTTATCCCAGGAAGAGGTAGTACATCCAACGGCCCAACACGAGGGAGCCTGGGTCCCTTAGGATCCCTGGGCTGAGTGCTGAGTGTGAGGCCAGACAGGGCAGGGCTCATGTAAAGGCAATGTGTATGTGGAGTAAGAGTGGCAGGCCAGCTCTCCACTGTGGGGACAGAGAAGGACGCCGTCAAGCTTTGGTGATCAAGATCCACGGAGGAAGTATGTCAGAATGAAACCCAACGCTCATGCACATGCATGTACACATGTAGCTATCACACGTCTGAGACAAAGTTACTTGTACTTACTGAGCACAATGGGCTCTGTTACAGTCTATCCTATTATTTATTTTGGTACCAACCTAGGGGTACTTAAGCACTCAGCCACATCCCCAGCCCTTATTATTTTTTATGACCATGCTGAGTTGCTGAGGCTAGCTTTGCTCTTGCCATCCTCCTG